AAACGACCAATAACAACGACAACAGCAACAAACCCAATATAGTTATAATTTTGTTCGGGTCTTTGTGGGTCGGGGGGGTGAACATTTGGGAAAAAAAGAATTGTGTAGGAGATAAAAAGCAACACCAATACCAAACTGGCCATTAGTAAGGGTTGTGTGGAGCTTACTCTAGAGGGAAATTCCTCGTAAATATGGGCTGGCGTCATTTCAATCCTGTTCAAATCCGATTCCCACAACCTAATCTGTTGAAACAAAATTGATATATCACAGCCGGTATGTCACCATGTAGAATTCACTCTTTTTAAAAGCTGGAAGTATGGTGATATGAAAATGTCAATAACTCGTGAAAACAAACACNAATACCAAACTGGCCATTAGTAAGGGTTGTGTGGAGCTTACTCTAGAGGGAAATTCCTCGTAAATATGGGCTGGCGTCATTTCAATCCTGTTCAAATCCGATTCCCACAACCTAATCTGTTGAAACAAAATTGATATATCACAGCCGGTATGTCACCATGTAGAATTCACTCTTTTTAAAAGCTGGAAGTATGGTGATATGAAAATGTCAATAACTCGTGAAAACAAACACGTTGAGCTCCATGAAATTATGAAAGACTACCTGATCAGTGACATTCTCTGGAACAGATGGTATTCTCTCAGCAACCCTTGGATGTGCATTCTGTTGAAGGAAAGAAATTATCTGTGCAAATTCATAGAAAGGATCAGAAGTCTGTGTTTTCTGTTTTTTTTTGTGAGTTGCTTGCTCCATTATGAAATTTCATTGCATTAAATGCACTTGGTTGGGAAGATTTCAGAGGGGAGGGACAAGGGTGATACTGGATATATATTTATTTTTATTTATTCTTACATATATTGATGACTTGGAAAGAGAGACAAGACGAAAGTATAAACATACATTATTGAACTAAAAACAAATACACTACTCCCATAGTCCCATACTTATATTCCATTTTCTTTTTAAGGAGTTATGAGGTTGCCATCTTCTTTCCATTCCCAAACAAATTACCAACCACACAATTTTTTTTCATAATTCTTAGCAACTGGGAAAATAATTTTACGGTAGGAGTAGTAATTTTCTAGTATAAGCACTAACAAATAGAGGATTAGAGAAAAATTAGTAAAGCCAAACCCAATGTTTCCCTCCCCTCCCAATCAAACAAGCCCTTATAGAAGGGCTTAAGGCTAAAGCAGGTTAACCACAGAAGCCAAAAACTGGTTGGTTTCTTTGGGTTACCAAGATTGGGTTCATATCTGTTTGGTAGAATATATATATATATATATATATATATATATATATATATATATATATATATATATATATATATATGTATGTATGTATATGTATATGTATATATGTATATGTATATATATGTATATGTATATATATATGTATATATATATATATGTATATATATGTATATATATATATGTATATATGTATATATATATATATATATGTATATATATGTATATATGTATATATATATATATATATATATATGGTGCGGTTCCTGTGAGAATGACTCTTGTGGAAAGAAATGAGAATGAATTTCATCCGTTAGATGCATTAGATCTTGCGGCTGTCTTTTTTCCGTCATTCGCTTATGCTTTATTAGACGTGCGCCTAATACGAAGCCGCCATTCCCGCTTACCAAAATTAAAAAATTCTTCTCCCTTACTAATTTTGAAGCTGCAGAGTCCTTTCAAAACTCATTCTCAAGTTTGCATCTCAATTTTGAGGACGTTCACCGGAGTAGCAAGTGCTAGCGATGGCGAGCAACGACGATGCATACCTTGCCGGAAAATCCATGGTGTTCTTGAGGATGACGAAGAATGCAACTGCCCGGAAAGGTATTGTAATTCCTCTTTTTGCGTTATTTATGGGGATTTTGGGGGTTTAAATGGTTTTTAGGGTGTTACTGGTAATTGTGTGTGCTGGTTGCATCGTTAGCTATGGATTGTAGTTGAGAGATGATTCGGTATTGAGGAGATGCAATTGCATGTCCATTAATTTCTGGTGCAATTTCGAAATTGGTTCTATTCCTTCTACTCCTTTGCCTATTAGGTTAATTGATCATACTTGCATGTATCATTCTCCCACTGTTTGTGTTGCACTCTGTAGAATAAGATTTGATTGTAGTACGAAGCTGGGAAATTAGGGTTGCTGATTGGTTTATACTGTGGCCATGTATAGGTTTGAGATTTCTTTACATGAACAAAGTGTTTTGGGTGATTTGCTTTCGTGCATTTCTTCCTAAATGTTTTGCATCTGTAGACCAAGTTCATTGCATGTTTTAAAAAGAGCATGTTCAGACTATGGATTCTAACAGTGAGTGTGAGAAATTTGATGCATTTGATTAGTTATGTGAGAAATTAGGGTTGCTGGTTGGTTTATACTGTGGCCCTGTAGAGGTTTGAGATTTCTTTGAATGAACACAGTGTTTTGGGTGTTTTTTGTTCGTGCATTTCTGTCTAATTGTTTTGCATCTGTTAACCAAGTTGTTTGCATATTTTAAAAAGTGCCTGTTCAGATTATAGATTCTAAGAGAGAGTGTGATAAATTCGAAGCGTTTGATTAGTTATATTGATGCATTTCTATACTCTTTGTTTGCATTAATTGGAGCTTTTGTTTGCATAAATTGAATAAAAGGTATTTAGAGATTTAGGTTTTTTTTGTAATGTGGTATGGTTTGTATTTTTTAAAAAAAATTCAGTGACTTCAAGTTGCATCTTGTAAGTGGGTGATGAAAAACACAGAAACATCCAGGTTTGTACATTAGATCGTAACATGTAGATCTTTTGTGAGAAGAGTATCACATTGTTTTGTTGTATTTGCTGAAATTCTATTTGGTAACATGTATATGCGTTTTTAAATGTCGGTACACACAAGGATGAGGTGTTGTTTAAGTGTGGGGACCTTGTGTTGAACCGTGGAGATTTGATGACACTACATTCCGGTGAACACATATCGCATCTTGTTCTTGATGCCTGGTCTACCATTCTTAATCATAAGGAGGTCTACCGTAGTGTTGATTCCCTAGCAAGATTCTATGCAAAGTCATACAAATGTGTAAGTGCTTCTGTTGCAGTTTTTTAAATCTATTATGCATTCTTTGATATGTTTGGTGCTAACATTTTTTTGTTGGTAGTTATATACGTCCGAAGGTGCACTACCAGATGAAAGCCATGCATTTGGTAGTTTTTGTGATGCATTGGATGCTTATTGGACATCTACCACCCCAATAAACGCATATTTGGTATTGTGTTTAGAGAGTTAATAATATTATATATTCTAATTTTTTGAATTCATCGGGTTTTGTGGTCCATGTTATATGTATGAATGGTTTCATAAGCATTTGATTTTGGTGCAGTTATTTATCCCAGTCATGCAATTTAAGTGGTGCTATTGTGTTTGTGTAAACACGAAGGGCAGTAGGCTGGAAGTGTTGGACCTCTCTTCGTCATGCACAAGAGCCGACGACAAATATGAGGACATGCCTGCTAAGCTGGTTAGTTAATCCATGCAGTGAAGATTTTTTACCCTTTGACGAAGCGCTGTGTTTCGCTACTCATCCTTTTGTAAACATTAAAATGCAGCGTGACATGCTTGTGCAATTCTTTAAGAACGAAGGGATGGAAGGAAAGCTGAAAAGGCTAAGTACACAGCGGCCAACGCGGCTTAAAATGCCTTGGAGGGAGCCCACGTCCATACATGAGTACGGTGTTGCAACTATGCGTCATATGGAGATATACATGGGGCTTGGAGTAAAAGGATGGGACTGTGGTTTGAGCAGGGAAGATGAGAAAGCCTTTAATGCATTCCGTTTAAAGTATTGTGCTTGCATCGTTTTGGCAGAGGTGAATGAGATGAAGGATGAGAATATTACCAAGGCAAAGAATTTCGTGGCAGCTTGATGTTGGAAACCAAACATTATTTAATATTTACAGAAATGTCTTTGGTGTTTTTGCACACCGGTTTTTTGTTTTTTGCTGCTAGGTTTTTTTAAGAGTATTATGGTTTTATCTAGTTTTCAACACTAATATCATCGTTATGAATGATCAGTTGGTGATAGATAGTTTTGATCGATTTTGGAGATTGATTGTTTCGGTAAGATGGCAGTGGAGTTATTTGCATTTTACTTAGGAATGGTTTAGGTTGTGTGTTTTATGATGACTTGTTTGTACATTAAGCATTAACCAGTTGTAAATGTGGTTTGGATGGGATGCAGTGTAGGATGGAATGCATTGAAGGGTGCATTTATCAATGTACTGGAATGCATTATATTTATCAATAAATGCGCCCTATACATTATCTAATTTATGCAAACAAATGCTCTAAATACCTTTTATTCAATTTATGCAAACAAAAGTGCCAACTAATGCAAACAAAGAGTACAAAAGTGCATCAATATAACTAATCAAACACTTCGAATTTGTCACACTCTCTCTTAGATTCAATAATCTGAACAGGCACTTTTTAAAATATGCAAACAACTTGGTTAACAGATGCAAAACAATTAGGCAGAAATGCACGAACAAAAAACACCCAAAACACTGTGTTCATGCAAAGAAATCTCAAACCTTTACAGGGCCACAGTATAAACCAACCAGCAACCCTAATTTTTTATTGAAGGGTGCATTTATCAATGCATTGAAGGGTGCATTTATCAATGTCCTGGAATGCATTATATTTATCAATAAATGCGCCCTATACCACAAGTGTGTTGAACCATATGTTTACATTAGATGAGCATTGAGCAAAGTAGTTATGCAGTACATTTGTAGTATATTGCATTCGTCATTAAAGATGGGAGAGCGTGGGATATACACAAGCACAACTTCGCACGTTGAATGCATTGCAACGAATTGTATGATGCTTAATAATTGGGGAAAAATGCTTTTTAATATTTGAGACAAAAGGCATTAGTAAATGTATATATAAGTATGAGTTTTGCTACAAGAGGAAATACTTTAATAAGATAATTCATTAATGTTTATTCAGTGGGCAATTTCTACTATCATGGTATCCCATATCACGGCAGGTTTTACACATTCGCTTGTTCTTCTTTCCTTGCTCTATGCTAATCTCCAAAGCGCTTTTGATTCTCTTCCCACCGCCCTTGTTGTGTACTTGTTGGGGGGGGGAGTGTAGTAATGTTTGATGGTGCAGATGTGCCATAGAATGACTCAAATATCTGGTCTTGTGGTGAAGTAAGATTAGACTGAAGTGCATTTTGGAGGATGTTCTTTTGCTGTTGAATGACCTTTGAAAATCCATCCAATAAGTCTGGTTTTTGTTCGGCAGCTGCAACACAGTAGTGAATATCCGACCACAAAAGGTTCAATGCTGTTTTTTTCCCTTCAACAGCTGAAACGTCATCAAAATCAATGTCGGGGATGTTGAACATGGGCTTCAACAATTTTTTTACACCATCTGGGCTTGATATACAGATCTGGAATCTTACGAATGTTCTCGTCCTTGAAAACTAGAAATATGTGTCTGCATAATAATCCAATGCGCATGTAGTGCTTACAGCTGCATGTTGCAGTGCCTTGAATGTGTGAGTATTAGACGGTGAATGTCATACCCCTGTTGTCCTTGACTATGTATTGGTTGTGTTGGTCGTCAAGTTCTTCAACTTGAAGTACTCTACAAGAGAAGCATGCTACACATATCTCGGCTTGAACATCGTAGAGAATAGTGAATGTGTAAACCGAGGATGCATGCTTCTCAATATCTAATGGAGTTTTAAACTCTGGGTAGCATGCTTCATCGTCTGCATTGTAGTCCGCGTTTTTATGACGTTGAGATTCCATGGCACTTTCAAACTGCATAAGAAGCTCCACCAGGCTAAAATTTTGCCCTCTAAAATCATCAAAGAAATTGTTCTCACTTTCGGAACGAGAAGTTGTACGCAGTAACCCTCCCATGAATAAATCTCTAAAGTATGCCGGAATCCACGTGGTTTGTATCTGAAAAATCTTGGTAAACCATTTGTGAGATTCTAAATTATATTCGGCCATGAGATTTTTCCACTACGTTTCAAAATCAACTGGCTCGAGATAGTGACTCCAGATGATGGCGTTGAGTTTGGACAAAAAATCTGCATCCTTAAGCAAATTGTCATCCACCTTCTTAACAACATTTTTCATGATGTGCCACATACAATAACGGTGAACGGTTCCTGGAAATCCTTGTTTCACGGCACATCGAAGAGAAGGGTCTTGGTCAGTAATGATGCATTTAGGGGCATTACCCATTGCATTTAGAAAACAACGGAAAAGCCAAGCATAAGATTCATCTTCTTCTTTGTTGATCAACCCAGCAGCAAATGTAATGCATTTTCGATGATTATCGACGCCTGTGAATGGTGCAAATATCATATTGTACCTGTACAGAAAGAGATAAACATTTGATAGATGAATGAAGATGTGAAATACTACAGTGGAAAAAATTAATGAACTAACAAGTAGATTGAATATACAAGAAACACATGAGAAGCGGAATGCACGTGCAAAGTACCTGTTGGTCTCATAAGTCGCATCAAACGAGACTACATCACCAAACATGGCATAGTTTTTCCTAGCAACAGGATCACACCAGAATAACCTTGTAAGTTGGTCGTTATCATCAACGTCGTATTCAAAGTGAAATGCAGAACAAGTCTCGTGTTTTCTAAACAGCTTGTCGATAACCATTTGTGCATCCCCACCGGTAATGTAAGCTTTGAGGTCTCGTTTAAAATTCTTAAAGTCAACAGCCATGGCTCCAATATTATCGTAACCACCTACAGTCTCTTTGAAAAGGCGGTAGGACTTCATTATTCCCATATTAGCCTTAACACAATTCAACATAAATTTCTTGTGACCAATATCTAGATTTCTGTTTACTTTTAAGAAAGGCCTTGAAGGAGCGGAAAGCATAGAATGATTGTGACATTCTTTGAAAGAGGTGATAGAATAACCGGCTGACCCAGACAATCTAAATATTACACGTGCCTTGCATCCGATGCGGTTTGAAATGCATCTTCTTTTTTTGGAATGGAGTCTGCAATGTCTTGAACTAGAGTCTTAGCAGTGACAGAAACATTCTTTTGACCCTCCCTATTACAAACAACATACTGCCATATGATCACACCATCGGGAGACTTCGTTGTCGTGCTTTTTCGTGCATCAAAACCAACGAGGGCTGCATATTCTCTATAAAATGCAATTCCGTCGTCTAAATTTCTAAAAAACATACCAACACTTGGTTTGGAGCTTTTGGGGCAAGGGGGAGCGATCCACTATCGCATCCGGCTTGACTAAAATGTTCCGTTGAAGAATCCGACTCTGTGTGTAGTTGTATAGACGAATTAGAACACAATTTGGTGTGCGAAAATACATGTAATAAAATGAATCCGAATCCATGAATAAAAAAGAAGACGGATTAGAACAAAAACCTGATTCCGGATCCATGAACACGGCATCGGAATATGGCATCCTCGAATTTAAGTGCCAATGTTTTGTGATATTGAAACGAGATGATTTCTGCGTTTGGGTGCGGTGGGAATAGAAGGAGAAGGTTGTATTTCGCCATCTTCAACAAGGAAGGAGATACGTGTGACGGAAAAAAGGAAATTGAGACTAGGTAAATAAGGGGGGAGAGTCAAAAGTACCATCCAGTCCTTGTGCGTTACATTAGATGAGTATCAAGATGGAGAGACCAGATTCATTCTCACCAGAACACACACACACACACATATATATATGTATGTATGTATGTATGTATGTATGTATGTATGTATGTATGTGTATATGTATATGTATATGTATATGTATATATGTATATATGTATATGACAGCATATAATTTTAGTAGTACATGGAAATGGAGAACATTGGTCCCCTAATAACTCCACAACTAGACCACTACTTTTTAGTGGGAACAATATATGCTTTTTCTTAACACTATGTTTGGTTCAAGGAATTTGAGGGGGAAAGGAAAAGAAAATGAGAAGGAAAATATTTTTCTTGTTTGGTTAGAGAGGAAAAGAAAAGAAAAGTGGAAGGAAAAGAAAAAGAGAAGGCAAAATATACTAAGAGGGAAAACCAAATTCCTCCCATTTTGGTGAGGAAAATGAGAGAAAACCATTTCCTTTTCTTTTCCTACCAAATTCTTTAAACCAAACATAGTGAAGTGAAAAAAATAACATGATGCAAAGATAAGAAAGGTATAACTTGCCTGTTCAGCACTAATGCCGTTTTGAAAAGCTTTGTATAAGCTTTCCTTTGTAATCGCACATACGATGAGAGTTGGAAGTTGGTACTCCACTCTGTCCCCACCACAAATTGTCATTTAAACAAGGAGTTTCATTTCAGCTGAAAATATTAAAGACTTGAATAGACGATATGAAAATCAAATTGTAAAATATTCTCCAAAACGTTGTGTCAGAAAACCTTTAAATTCCAGCAAGATGTAGCAGGGGCACAAGAATTGAAAGTGAAACCTTAGAGTACAAATTTGTACACTAGCCTCATATAGAGAGTACTAAAGTTTCTAAATGTGACTCCAGTTATGAGGTGCAATGAAATTTTGGCTAACAAAAAACACATCACATGGAAAAAGAGGTCCATGCACCTCACACTTATTCTATAAGATTATAGTCAGTACTTTATACCTAGTTTAAATCAAATTAGTGACTTCTTCAAGGCAAACCATATCATACACAGACTTAATAGTATAGCATACCTAGCAAAAAGGCGTAGGATCTCGCAGTGTAATTTTGATGAGGAATAAGCATACAGCCTGAAGTTTGTTTCCACAACAACAAATCCCTTTTGGCATGAGAAAGAGAAGGCATTAGAAATGCATAAAAGAGAGTGTGTAATACATTATCATCAAGATATAAATAAATCCATAGTTAAATTACGATAACTTCAGATGTGTTGTTTCAGAGTTAATTAAACTAGTGGTTGAAAAGAATACCCATATGTTTATGTCATACCTGTTTCCTCGATGATGTATCTGACAAGCTAGTTGAGAGGTTGGTAGCAAATTTGGTAGGTATGAACCAGCTTTCTTATCGTCCCTGATAACTGATAAGGGAGGATGAGTATTGTTCGGGTTAGAAAAATGTACAAGTCAACGACTAATGGAACTTAGTCTAAAATGCTAGCTAGCATTTACCTGCTGTAGCTTGGCCAGTCCAAGATCAGAAAGGTCCCTAATTATACACATCTGTTAATGTCTTTGAGTTGTACTAGACTCGTACCCGTGCGTTGCACGGTGAAAGTTTTTGTACGAAAAATATATTTACTGCCTTGCCTTCCTCTTTGATGAGTTAGTGAGTTACGGTACATATAGGAGAATTAATACAAGAAAGGAAACCTAATTACACCATACAACTAGCATACAATTAATACTAATATAAACAAGGAAATTTCCATAAGAGCACGGCTGGAGTTCCGCCACCATATGCATGCGTGTGATCTCCTAGAATTGTGCCTTGCCCATAATAAAATTATGTACTATATTATTCTGTAACACCCACCCTCAAGTTGGAGCATGTAACAAACAAATGCCCAACTTGGGGAGTAAAGCTTCAAACCGTCCTTTTCCAAGAGCTTTGGTAAGAATATCCGCACACTGGTTGTGAGTGGAAACATGAGATGTACGGATAGTGCCACGTAGTAATTCATCACGAACAAAATGGCAATCAATCTCAATATGTTTAGTGCGTTCATGAAAGACAGGATTGGCAGCAATATGGAGTGCGGCTGTGCTATCACAATAAATCTGCATCGGCGATGGATGAGGAACATCAAGAAAGCGCAATAAGCCACGTAGCCACTTAAGCTCGCATGTGAGAACAGCGAGGGAGCGATACTCAGCTTCAGCAGAGGATCGTGCCACAGTAGGTTGTTTCTTGGTTTTCCAGGATATGGGGGAGACACCCAACTGGACAAACCATTCAGTCAAAGAACGACGAGACAATGGACAAGCAGCCCAATCTGAATCACACCATCCAGTCAATTGAAGAGAACTGTCAGAATGTAGAAGAATTCCATGTTCGGGAGATCCTTTTAGATAACGAACCACTCCTAGAGCCGCATTCCAGTGATCAACTTTTGGTTCTTGAAGAAACTGGGCCAAAGTATGAACTGCATAGGATAGATCGGGACGAGTAACTGACAAGTACACAAGCCGGCCAACCAAGCGATGGTATGCACCTGGATCGTCAAGAGGGGGACCAGAAGCTAAGGCGAGCTTGTGATTTGGCTCTAAGGGAGCGCCAAGTGCACGACATCCAAGTAATCCTGTCTCAGAAATAACATCAAGAGCATATTTTCGTTGACACAAAAATATACCCGTAGAGTTCCGGGCGACTTCGATTCCAAGGAAGTATTTTAAGACCCCCAAATCTTTCATATGAAAACAGTTAGAAAGGTATTTCTTGAAACGATCAATTTCAAGAGAATTATTTCCAGCTATCACCAAATCGTCAACATAAATCAAAACATGCACCACAGAAACCCCTTTGTGGAAAGAGAACAAGGAGTAATCGGAAAGAGACTGGACAAAGCCATACTTACGCAGCGCACCAGACAATTTTGCAAACCAACATCGCGGGGCTTGCTTAAGGCCATAGAGAGACTTGTTTAATTTACAAACCAAGTCCGGTGTCTGAGAGCGATATCCTGGAGGTGGTCGCATATACACTTCGTCTATCAAATCACCATGAAGAAAGGCGTTGTGAACGTCCATCTGATGAAGCTCCCAGTTGCATATGGCGGCAATGGCAAGAAGGACACGAACAGTGGTAAGTTTGACAACCGGAGCAAAAGTTTCTTGGTAGTCAATACCTTCAACTTGATGGTTTCCTAATATAACAAGACGAGCTTTGTAGCGCTCAATCGTACCATCAGACTTTCGCTTTATACGGTAGACCCATTTGCAACCCGATGCCTTCTTGTGACGTGGTAGCGGGACAAGCTTCCATGTGGCATTGTTCTCCAGCGCATCAATTTCAGTGGACATAGCTTGCCGCCAATGTGGAGACTTTACAGCATCCTTGTAAAGTTGTGGTTCGAAGTCAGAGTCTACTGCGGCTAAGAAGGCCCTGTGATAAGGTGAGAATCGGGCGTAGCCAATGTAATGTGTCAAAGGATACTTACAATCAGAAACAGCGGTAGAGACGCCATGTGTAACTGCATATGTTTGATAATCTGCCAGCCTCACATTCGGTGTTCTTTGACGGTGACCACGACCCAAATTAGGCGCTGGTTCAACACTGGTAGATGGCTGCTAGACAGTGCTGGACTGTGCTGGACGGTGCTGGATGACTGCTGGACGGTGCTGGCTGCTGGGTGTCTGAAGACAGCGGCTAGATGATGGCTACTGGACAGTGAGTGGACAACAGCGGCTGGCAGCTTCTGTCTCAGGATCTGCCGTCGTTGAGAGATTCGGCTGGGCAGCTTCTGTCTCAGGATCAGACGTCCTATTTGGAGCAGAAACACTACCCCCCTTGCTGGTAGATGCTGTAGCCCCACATCATCTTCATCATCTAGGGACATCATGTGTGGTTCGGCTACTGGTGCAGTTAGGGAGGAAGACAAATTCTCCTGAAATGGAAAGACATTTTCATGAAAAATTACATCGGATAAATTTTCCAGTGTCTCGACAATAAATGCGCCATCCTTTCTTCCCATGTGGATAGCCCAGAAAAACGCCTTGCACACTACGAGACTCAAATTTATCTCCATGCCGATCTTGATTATGAACATAGCACAAACATCCAAAAGTGCGAATATGAGTCAATACCGGTGAACAACCGAACATAATTTCATAAGGGGTCTTGCCATGCAACACAGTAGAGGGAGTGCGGTTGATGAGATACACAGCAGTAAGAACGCATTCCCCCCAAAACTCAATCGGAAGAAATGCCTGAAAACGGAGAGCTCGTGCAACATTAAGAATATGTCGATGCTTACGTTCAACCCGACCATTTTGTTGCGGTGTCCCACGACACGATGTCTCATGTAAAATACCATGTTCTCGGAAGAAAGGTTCAAGACATTCAAACTCAGTGCCATTATCACTTCGTACAATTTTTAGCTTTTTATTAAATTGTCGGTCAATCAAAGCATAAAACTGACAAAAGATCAATGGCACCTCAGATTTTGCACGTAGTAAGTAGACCCAAGTGCCACGAGAATAGTCATCCACAATGGTCAAAAACGATGTAAACCCATCCAAACTAGGTGTCCTGTACGGACCCCATACATCAACATGAATAACTCCAAATAAGTCTTTGGCTTTATTAGCACTTGAAGGAAAAGAAGCACGACACTGTTTTGCACGTAAACAAATAGCACAAGGTCCATTATTTAAAACACTAGATTTACTATCACTAGCAACTGATAAGAAAGACAAAACTTTTGGTGATGGATGTCCAAGACGTCTATGCCATAGATCAAATTGACATTCCTTCACAGTTGACAACGCACGACCCATCGATGCTTGCTGAAAATAGTATAAGCCATCCGATTGTCTACCCACACCAATCACCTGCATAATGAACCGTCGAATTTCACCAGGCAATTAGTCTCTTTGATCAAATGAGAGACTGATAGTAAATCACAACTCAAATCAGGAACAAACAAAACATTGTTCAAAACTACGGAGTCATTGAGCCTAACACGACCCACAGTAGGAGCCGTTACCGTCTTTCCATCCGGCAAACGAATCCAACAACCCGATATAGAATGTACGTCAATCAAACATTGAAGGTCTCCTGTCATATGATTTGTCGCTCCGGTATCTATAATCCATTGTTTAGTAATAGGAATACCTAACAATTTTTCAGACGGAACTTCCTTGACAGAGGCTAGAAGTGCCTTGAACGTCTCCCATTGCTCGACAGATAAAGAGGGAATGACTTCCCTGGCAGAGGACTCGCCACTGGTACTGCCTCCAGGCAGTGCTGCCGTCGCCACATGAGCAGAATGCTGCTGCTGTCCAGCAGCGCCGCCTCTGCCAGTATTGCCGCCGCGTCCATTACCGCCGGTGTCGCCGTTGGTTTTCTTCTCTCCCGGAGTCGCCATGTATGTCTACGCCAAAAAATTTACGAAAAAATTCCACGGCCCGAAGGATACCATGAAAGTTTTTGTACGGAAAATATATTTACTGCCTTGCCTTCCTCTTTGATGAGTTAAGGTAGGGGTGTTCATTCGGTAAAACCGAACCGAACCGAACCGAAATTTCGGTAAACCAAAATTTCGGTAATATTATATTTGTACCGAATACCGAACCGTATTAAATCGGTTTGGTATTCGGTAATACCGAAAAAACCGAAAATTTAATTTTATTTTCATCTATACTTCACTTTTTTTATTTTCAATTTGTACCACAAGAAATCTCGTTCAACTTTTAAAGAAATTAGAAATACTTTATATTTTTAGCTATAGTTAATCATAAATAACTTAGTTTTTCATATTATTAAAAGATTATTGAAACACATGATTTTGATCTTGTAAAAAAATGAAATATAAAAAAAGAAATAAAAAATTCAAAATATAAAAATTATTCTATCAAAATGTTTAAAAGATCTTACCTTTAGCCACCGGTAATTTATTGCCCTACGAAGTGAGGTCAATGTATTGACCATTTAGAATAAATGAAAAAAAAATTAAAGAAGAAAGATTCAAATAGTAAGCATGAGTAAATTTAGCTAGATATGAAGTATTGTTTAAAAATTAAAATTGTCAATAAAAGGAAGGATAAAATAAGGTAGACCACTATATAAGTTGCTAGGACTCAAGGTTAGAATTCAAACTTCAAAATATATTTAAAATAATAAAATGAAGTAATAATTTGGTATTCGGTAAAAACCGAATTACCAAATTGAACCGAACCGAAAACCGAATTTTAGAAAAAAGAAAAACCGAATACTGAACCAGTTTGGTTTCGGTACGTACCGAATTTTCGGTTTCGGTACGGTTCGGTCGGTTTACCGAATTGTGCACACCCCTAAGTTACGGTACATATAGGAGAATTAATACAAGAAAGGAAACCTAATTACACCATACAACTAGCATACAATTAATACTAATATAAACAAGGAAATTTCCATAAGAGCACGGCTGGAGTTCCGCCACCATATGCATGCGTGTGATCTCCTAGAATTGTGCCTTGCCCATAATAAAATTATGTAATACTCCCTCCGTCCCGGTGTATTTGTCCACATTTGACTTTTGGAACTGTTCATCTAAGAACTTTGACTCATCAAATTCTCTCAATGTGTAAGCCTAAATATAGTCATGTGTGATCTTGTTTGATTTGTCTTAACATATAGATTATTAATATATAATTTTTATAATTTTTTAATATACAAATTACAAGATAAAATAGATTAAAGAAGTGCATTGGATGGTGTGCAAAAATGAAAGTGGACAAATACAGGGGGACGGAGGGAGTATATTATTTTGTAACACACAGCCTAATTATAAACTACTCCCTCCGTCCCAAATTATTTGTCACATTTGCTTTTTCAACAGTCGCGGGAACTTTTGTTTATTTCTACGTTTTCATTAGTTATTTGATAAAATAAAATATTCTTGACACCTCTTATTTCGAAGAACTTTTCATGTAGTTTTTTTATATGTAATTTTTATTTTTTATTTCTTTACCAATATGTAAATAAAATGAATTGAAAAAACTTGATATTTTGACTCGGTAATAGAAATGTGACAAATAATTTGGGACGGAGAGAGTATATAATTAAGAAAAGTATTGATGAAAGAAAATGATAAAATTAAATTACAATCATATCATATAATCAAATAATAAAGACACGAAGTTCTATAACAATACATTACCCATTTATTTATTTTGATTTGACATAAAATTTGCATCGAGCCACGTACCAATATTACTACGCACTCAGTTCCATATCAGTCCACTACTTATTTATTTATCTTGATTTGACATAAAGCTCGCGTCGAGTCACGCACCAACATAACTATGCACGCATTTCCATATTAATACAGTACCATTTATTTATTTTGATTTGACATAAAGTTTGGAAAATGAAGTTATTAATCCATCCATTAAATGCTTGAAAATAGGAAAAGTATAAATTAAATGGATTTGATGTAAAGTACATTGAGCAATGAGAAAGATTTGATACTACTTTTACTTTATGGAGAAATGCATCCATAATTTAACCTGAAGATGTCCAAGCTAGGAACCACGTCAGTCAGCCCACTTGGCCCGGTTCAATTCCTGAACTCACTACTCGTACGTTCTCAATTATTTTATTCTTCTCTTCTCTTTTAGAACAAAGATTTCATTTCTTCTATTGCCAAAAATTGGTGATTCAATTTTTTCATTTCCAAGTTTTCTAGCTAGGTTCAATAGCTTCTCACCAAACAACTAAAAGTCAAACTTGATTTCATTTACTCGTACGTTCCCTCCCAACACTTTCAATCCTTTTTTTCAAGACCCATATCTTTTTTCATATTATAGAGTCCATCTATTATCATTTATCTTAAACTCAACAAACAGGCCCTTAAATCTACCACTATATGAAATCAAACACAAAGCTTATCAAACATAAACCTAGTAATAATCTGAGCAATTACAAATGGAAATAGGGGCGACCGGGCCACCAGCAAATGATTTTTCAAAATAGGCTACGTAGGGAAGTTGGGTGCTTATTATTTTTCAATAACGTATGTGCGATAAAGAATCAATCATAAACTCCTTTTTATTGTAACTCTCTTCAAATAAAGAACCTACTTCACCCAATTCAATGGCCCATTTACACAGAGTGTTGTACATTTGCACCCTTGTTTGAGCCCTTTCACTTCCTTCAACTGTCAAGTGTCTATTTTTGGCATTTTTAGTCCACCTCTTCAATATATATTGCAATGGTATGCTTGATAGACCACACATTTGAACAACAACCATTGCATGTCTGTAAAAGAACCCTTTGTATTCAAATAGGAGGCAAGAATAGGAAACCTCTGATTTTGACTCATTCCATGTCACACTAAAACTGTCATCCTTTTCACAACAAAAGAAGATATTGAGATGGGTTATTGTTAAAAATACAAATATTAACAAAACTGGGTTGACTTCCAAGAAATCTTGATTGGATTGAAAATCCAACACCAGATTCTAAAAGAGCATCGCTAATCACTCACAATCCATTAAAAAATTCAACCAAAATATTCAAACCAGAGTTGAATAAAAACCTGGAGTATCTTAGTGACTTCTAGTTTCTTGTCAAAATGTCCAACAGTAGCCAAATCCAATAGAAATTAAACCACCATAGGAGCTCTAAGAATACCATCTAGTCAAACCTGCACTTTGGAAGCCTTCAACATGCTCCTATATAAACAAAGACCCACAAAGTCAAATACTTAGTCTGAATAGCATAAACAATTTATATATGTGGGCTAGGGCCTAATATCAAGTGCTTATACTCATTCTACACTTTGTAATCTCGAAAGAATCAAAAGCAACATAAAATAAAATACACTTCCATAACATATGGAATCCATTCTTTTACATATTTAAAATAAAAACTTGTGAACTGTATAATCACACTCAGTCATAAGCTTTAAATTTATCATTCTCAAACACGTAAAAGTTACTAATCTCAATTTGGAGTCAGAGTACTTACGCACGGGATGGATGGATTTAATTTCTCTATCTCAGATTTTCCATAATCCGTGTTTTTCTCTATCTTGAAGTCTCTCCTTATCCACTTTTCCTCATAATCTATGTTGTCCTGAATAGTCTCATCTGCAATTTTGTTGATAAAACAACAACATTACTCGAGTGGCCCAAAGGTTCCTACGCATAGCGGGGTAAGGAATGTATGAAATGTGACCCCTATGTAAAAATATAGAGCTATTGTTTAAAAGAATATACTAATCCTAAATTTGGATCAAACTTGAATGAATTGAATTGAATGAAACAAACTAAAATGAATACATCTCAAGTGATAAACGGAAAAGAACAACAATCCTAAATTGAACAAAACTGAACTTTGTTTTTTAATTTGTCACAATTTATTAACCTAAATCAAATTCTAAAACAATTAAGAAACATTATAGAAATTTCTTCTATAAGACACAAATTGATAAATACCTGAAACTGCCGAGGACATAAGATAGGTCAAAAAATCAAATCTTCAAATGATGAAACCCTAGATCCGGAAAAGGTTTGCGCCAGACTCCTGCAACGATGATAGCTGGGAGAGTTTGCATCCAAAAAGATAGCCGATACACTATGACTCGGGTGCTAGCTATGCATATCTGCAGCGGCTGCCCTCTTTCCCGCAGCAGCAGCTTACCTTAAGTCGCCCACTTTATCGGCGGTGGTGGAATCAAGATTTTACTCGTGGTGCTCTAGTCGCTTGCTTAGAGATACTCGTCATTATTGTGCAGCTAAATAGAGAGATGAAGCGTACCTGAGACGATGGCGTGAAACCCCTCTCTCCTTGTCCTGTCATCTCTGTGCTAAAACCATCTTTCTCCTCGTTGCGGATGTATACGATTGTATGCAAGGATAAGGTCGGCCTAGGTCATGTCTTAAGGTGAAGAGAATATAATGAATGGCGTACAGAAGCTTGTATAGGAATTTCCCAAATTACCCTGCGGACACTGTAGCCAAAAAATAGGCGAGAATATTATTCACATTTCCATCTTACCATTGTATATAGTTAGATTTCAGCCAAATAAGCAAAAAATGGCTTACTGTGCTGATTAGCAAAATAAGCTGATAGGAGCTGCCAAATGGAACCTCAATGAAGGAAGTTTAACTAAAACATGCTTACTAAAAAAAGGACTATGTTTGTCAATGCAGCTTCATAAGTGTTTTCAAAAGCTTTATCAAAAAGCACATTTGGAAAACATCTTTCCCACATGGTAAAGCATTTTTGCTCTTATGGAAGTGATTTTCACCCTTTCCAGAAGTGTATCCAAATAAGCAGTAATATTAGAATCCAAAAACACCTATAAATTATAATAAGTGGTGCGGAGTAACTTACAATATCTTGAGAGACCAGACCAACATGTCTCCTCAAACTATCCACCTGAATATTTCCAATATCAAACCCATTGACCTGTATGGCACCTGTAATGAAATAAAGAAGCAAACCATTCAAGTTACAGATATAAGAATAAATAATGGATAACATTTCCAGTCCCTGTCCCAGTAGTTTAAATGTGTTTTGACAGAATTAACCCTGAATTGGGCGGGAACATTGTTCCTGCTTATTTTTGCTTTGTGTATAGTAAGATAAGATTGGAGAAGCTAGTTTCTTAAGAACTCCACATGCGAGAAATAATTAGCTAACGAATTAATGGATAATTATCAGTGGCTGATGAGATAATACACAAATACATGGTACAAATACTCCAAACATCATGCTTCCATCAAATTGCAGAACACAATAAATAACAAAATAATTCTCTAGACTAAAAAGCCACATAAAATAATATGAATACCAAAACAATAAAGTTAAAAGCAAAGGTATTACTCTTTTATGACAATATTCTGCTAAATCAAGTTGCTACTGTGCCAAGTTCATTATTTGTTGGAAGCTAAAAGTTTAACAGATAGTGCTAAACTATAGAATACTAATCTTCAAAACTAAAAGCTAAACAAATAGTTAACTTCTTCTGTAATGAAAGTGTACCATAAAAAAGATCCATTACGTATCATGATTTGTATTTAAAAAATAGTGCTAAAATATTGAATAATAATCTTTAAAATAGTGTGCAATAAAAAAGACATACTTGGTGGCTAGTGGCTATGTATAGCTAACCGGTAGAGAAAGCTATTACCTTATCGAGTTACAATTATGCGCCAAAGGTAACATCTTGGATTCTAAAGAAAATTCTGCATAGTTTCATACCAAAGAAGCTTAACATTCTTAATACTCACATAAAATAAGAGACCAAATATGTTAAAAAAGGATATAATATTTGAAAAGAAATTGTGATAAATTAAAAAAGATTGATAACAAACCTGAATTCTAAAGCTTTTTCATATGCTTTATGCTTCATTTTCAGTTCGAGGATTGTATATTTTACAAAGCAATAATGTAATAGACAAATGGTATAAACAGATGTCCTAATTAAGGGTAAACTATATATGTTCATCCATAGAAGTGAACACCTATTTTTATTAGGTGAAGCATATTCTCAGATCAGAATGTAGAATCAAGGGACTGCACCACCCAAGCCTCTCATCCGTTCAGAATCTAGTCACCTTTAAAACAAATTAAAATCTTGCTCTCGATACGTATAAATTATAACAAATAAATTAAAATAGAAATAACAAAATGGTCGTATGTTTTACCCGAATCTGTCTCCTCCTTATTTCTAGGGTTGGGTGGAAACTGAAATGCCAGATATTCTTCGCCCTGCAATTCTTGGATGCCGTCCTCGCCTGTCACAAAAGCGTCGGCTTAGCTTTTCCTCCCCTACGGTGAAGCATGTTTCAATCCTTCAATTTTGATTGTTAAAGGAACCCAGTAGTCTTCTAGCCAGTAAGTTGAGATTACTGATTACCCAAAGAGATGCATATTTGGTTTCAAGAAATGGAGAGATGCTTTGAAGAGATCTTATTTAAAGCTTATAAATTTGAGTTAGGGGTGATGAATACCTGAAACTGGAGACGAACGGTTCATAATCCTCTCTTTGAAAACTTCCATACATGAAACCCTAGATCCAAAAGATGTTTCCGGCGAACTCCGCAAGGATGATAGCAGCAGACACGTCTCTGAAGGGCAGGCAAGCAACAAAGTATGAAAGGCGTTTGGGCAAAATCGATACTTCTCCATCGTTCCCTGCCACAAATAATGCGAGATCGGGAAGATAAGTCTGGTGTGTGCGGCTAAGCATCAATATGTGGTAATGAGAGTTGCGTCCAGAAGAAGCTGACATCCGAAATTCCAAAAATTCTGGACTTTGGGCGGGAACACTGTTCCCAAACTCCTCTTACATTGTATATAGGATTGTATATAGGAGGATGCCTAAAAGAGAATTAAATCCAGTTACAACTGATGGAGTGATGGTATAGATGATATGCACATATTTTATATACTTTTTAGGCATATTTTGAAGGAGTTTTGAGTCCCAATTGAATTAATGTTTACATTTTATGTCAATTTTCCGTTTTATTTTGGTAGAGCGGTTCTATGCTTGGTTTTATATGAAAACGGCCCTAGGATTCGAACCGTGGACTTCAAAGTACTGGAACTAGAGCTTCAACCATTGCGCCACAACTGACTGTTTGGCATATCACTGGCGGACAGCATCTATGTTCTCGCTTTGAATCGGCCCATGAATTGGAGAAAAATGACAAAACACTGGATGGGGAATCAAACACGGGATCAAGTGGCGACAAACAGCCTCATTTCCATGTGGGCTACTGTAGCTTTGTTGACATGTTTGGAACTGTTCGTATATACTCAATATATACGAATTTATCTAGGGTGAGCATGGTACGGTATTTAGGTCGTACCGATACCGTACCAAATCTTTCGGTTCGGTATGGGATTTTACTCCGTACCGATCCCGATCCCGAAATATCGGTTCGGTATGGTTCGGGATGGTTCGGTATCGGTTTTGGTACAAATCGGGATGAATATACACACCTACTTTACACCTTAAAACTTAACAACTCCCCTTTATTTTTGAAAATTTAAAATGAATTTAAATAAAAAAACATGAAAAATTTTAAAAAAATGAATATTTAAATGCATGAGATGCGTATCAAAACTTAGTTTATATTTCACAAACTAAAAAAATGAACGACAACAAAAAAAATATTGAATCTTTGTGAATACTTTTATTTTCATACACAAAAACTAAAACTCAAATAAAAGTATAATTTATACATAATAGAACTTGAACCAATTTTTTTTAAAAAATTACTCCGTATTATTTAGTGAAGGAATATAAAAATATTACTCCGGGATATTATTTTTTATAATATTTTAGTATATATGTTCGGTTCGGGATTTTCGATATGGGAAGTCACCTCGTACCGTTCCCAAATACCGTACCGACCATTCGGTTCGGTACGATTCGGTTCCTTCTCGGTACTTTTTCGGTTCGGTATTTTTCGGTTCGGTATTCTCGGTTTTTTCGGGAAACTTCAGTATCAGTTCGGTACATGCTCACCCCTAAATTTATCTATAAAATCCACTCCCTTCTCTTCTTCTAGGAGGTTGGAACCCCCCACTTCTCTACTCTCTCCATTTCCGAAATTCTTCTCCTTCCTCACTAATATCTCACCACTTTCTTCTTCCAAACACATAAAAATTACTCCATCTTCATCATCATCAACACCATCTATTTTAGTTGGAGCTCAAGAACACATCTTTCATTTTGTAAGATTTTTATTATTGTACTACCTCCGTCCCGCTATATTCGTCCAGTTTTGACTTTTGAAACTGTTCATTTAAGCACTTTGACTCATCAAATTCTCTCAATGTGTAAACCTAAATATAGTCATGTGTGATCTTGTTTGATTTGTCTTAACATATAGATTATTAATATATAATTTCTATAATTTTTTAATATACAAATTACAAGATAAAATGGATTAAAGAAGTGCATTGGATGGTGTGCAAAAATGAAAGTGGACAAATATAGTGGGACGGAGGGAGTAATAAATATTTATTTGTTTAAGCGTCCAACTATGAACTTCTAAATTCCATTGGGGTTAGAAGTTGGTGTAATTAATTGTCCATCTTAATGTTTTGAATATTTTTAATATGGATTGTTAATTTTGTTTTATTTAGATGTTATATTTAAAAATAAATAAATTTAGAATGTTTGTGATTTTTTAATTAAGGGCCCAATCATAAACATAATTGTTACAAGGAATATGAGCTAAAATTGATATAATCATAAAATAGAACATTTTTTAAATACACTGTAAGCCTTCTCTACCTTTAACCGGGATTGAATACTTTCGGGTGGACATAATTATCGAGTTGTATTTTTACACCATTAAATTGGGTAAACATACAATAAAATAATTATGGTTGCCGTTGTAACTAAATAATTACTCGGAATTTATCATTAGCGTGTTAAATTCGGAGTGATTATTATTTAGGTGAACTGCGAGAGCGTCCCTAAATACTTTTCTGCAACCCCACACATTCTATATAAAAAATTAACAATCCAACTTTTATAAGAACATTGGACAATTAATTTACCAATTTCTACCCCTAACTTTTCATCATCAAAAACTTTGGGTTGTTTGGAACTCTCTTCTTTTACTCTTTTTATTTTATCTCTAAAACCAAAAAGACCAAAAATATTTTACAACTTCTTTTGTAAACTTTTGTTTAAATTAAATTAACTCACGTCTTCCTGAGGTTCGACACCCTACTTACAAGGGTTCTTTTAATTGTTAGTTTTGCCCGTTTTATACTGCAAATCAATAGACTTAGATTCAAACATTGTAGCACTATCAGCGAGTTTATTGCACCAATACCCCCTGTGATTTGGTATATGTGCATCGTTACCCCCCATGATTTCAAGACTTACGCCGTTGCCATCATAGTTCTGAAATTGTTACGTCAATGCCCTTCTAGACAAAAATACCCTTCAAATATTAAGCGAATAGCTCTGCTACCCCCTATAGTTTTGGAAATGGGCACCAATGCCCCTCTCCTTTTTCTTTATTGTTATTCTTTTTTGTTTTCTTTTTTTCATAAAGAGAAGAAAAATGTTTGTGTTTCAAATAATGAAAAGTTGTTTTTTAAAAGTCAAAACTAATCTTTAAAAAAGTTTTAAAAAATAAAAAATATTTGTTTTTAATTTGAAATAAAAAATTTAACATATACTACATTTGTTAGTTTAAATATTTTAATTTATTTTTATGAATATGTCGAGACCAAATCAATACCGAGTAAGGTCTCTTTAATATATAGTTAATTATATATTAATAACATTTTTTGGACCGTTGCGCAAAAGATTTTCTTCATGACTTAATTTTCCCTATTTTATAAATGAATTTTTTCATATTGTTTCTTTTTCTTCATTTTCTTTTCTATTCTTTTTTCTTTTATTTTATTTTTAATTAAAAAAGAAATGAACGGGGTAGCTTCCGCCGAGTGCCCACGGTTCATCACCAAGTCCGATCTAAAGGAGTATTTTTTTTACAATATTTATCTAATTATCTTTTCCCTTTCGATTTTATTTTTCAAAAATTAATTACTTTATTTTACCAATTTTTTCGTTTAGCCAGCAATCAGTCATAACGTAACTTAATTTAATTTTTTTTACTTTATGTGAATAATTTAATTCAATTTTTTTTGATAGGAGGAGGAGGAGCATGACCCTCTATTTTTTAATAGGTGAGTTTTTTAAATTCCCTTACTCTAAATTATTAACTTTCATCTTTAATAAAGTTTAAATTGTTTTTACCTTTTTTTGTAAGGAAACTGCATGCAAGGAGAATTGTTAACTCAATTGAAGGATTCGATCAATTTTTTGACCCAAGACCTGTATTCGTCTCAAGTTCGGCCACTCATGAATTCGAAGTCCGAGCCTAAAATTCATACATATTTCTAATAACTGTGATGTTAAAAGTTATGTAAATCATGATAATTTGTAACTTTTATTTTTATTTGTGAGATGAATGTGGTATGAACATATATTATTTGTTAGATGTGATGAATATTATTTGACATTTTATTTTTATTTAAATAATCAGTTTTGTTATTATGTTGTGAATATTAGATGCTTTTATTGTTAAATTTTACAAAATTTCCAAATTAAAATTTATCTTTAAAAAAAAAATTAGGCACGAACAGTTTCTTGACAAAGGGGCCAATATTTATTATTTCGAAAAATAAATTTTCAAATTTTGATGGTTCATACCCCCTCTAACCCCCCCGGTAAATCCCCCCACCCTGCCCTGCCCCGAACAAACCCCACCACCCCCTCCAATTGCACCCCACAAGTCGATTTTGACTTTGGAGTCAAATTGCAGCCTTGATACGGAGTATATTATTTTTTATTTTATACTCCCTCCGTCCCTAAATATTTGTCACACTTGTATTCCCGAGGTAAAATATCAAGTTTTCTCAATTCATTTTACTTACATATTGGTATAGAAATAAAAAATAAAATTTACATATCAAAAAACTACATGAAAAGTTCTTCGAAATAAGAGGTGTCAAGAATATTTTATTTTATCAAATAACCAATGAAAACGTAGAAATAAACAAATGGTTTGTATGGTTAAAATGATTTGTTTCTTAATTGGAAATTATATAAATTATAAAACTGTAAATTTAATGGATTGATTAAAAAATTTACACCTTAACTGATTATTACCTTTTATGGACAAATATTATTTTTAGTTGAATGGTAATCATTTTTTATTATATCAATTCCAATTTTATAAAAGAGTTCAGTATTAGAAAAGAAGTTTATATAAATAATATTTTTTACATTTTGTTTCCTTTTTAGAAATACATTAGGCATGCGAAATTTCCTTTAATCTATCATTCTAAATAAAAATAGAGTAATTAAGTAATTATGCATGCAAAATTATTCTAAAAAGGAAACAACGTAAATCTTATTTGCAAAATTTGTCCCTTCCTTTTTTATCAGAATTAAGTAATTATGCATGCGAAATTTCCTTTAATTTATCATTCTATTATTCTTAAAACTATTTTCTTTTAAGAATAGAGTGATTAATTAAATAATTACCTATTTAATTAGGCATAAATAATTACTTTTTGATAAAATAATCAAGCATAAATTATTCCAAATAATAATAATAATAACAATAATAATAATAATAATAATAATAATTAGGCGTAAATAATTACCTATTTAAAAAGGAAAAAAATATAAAAAATCTCATGCACCGTCTCTTCCATTTGTATCACAATCAAGTAATTAGGTAAAATTGGTTAGGAAACAAATTACTCCGTTCCTTTTTTATTAGAATAGATCGAGTGATTATGCATACAAAATTTCCTTTAATTTATCATTCTAAATAGGTAATATTATACAACTAATCATAGCCGTAAATCTTGTTTGTTCCTTGATATCGACGGTACAGGAGATGAATACATTGGGCGGGAAAATAATTCTCATGCTTTTAAGAATAGAGTGATGTGACTGAAGTTATATTCAAATGAATTGATATACAAATTGAGCTAGCATTAAAACATGAAAATTTATAGTAACATATAGACACATAATTGGGACGTAAGGAATACCATTTTATCACTTATTTGTGCTACCCATTTCTGAGGTGTTTGCAACGGATCTCAATACTTGAGATTCTCTTTGTACTTCGGATCACCTTGCGTCCTTAACAACTTTGACAAAATATTAATCCATATTAGTTCTTTTTTTTTTTTGCCCTCTCCCTAAATAGGGCGCATAATGAAAATTTAACTACACATAGCTAACATTTTGTAGTGGGGACACCATAACATGAATTCGCATTTAAGCCTTTATCCATAAGTCAAAACTCTAAATCAATAAATCATCAAAAATTACAAGCATTAAACAATAGCACAGTATCTCTAACCTTATTTTTAAAAAAAACAACAAAGAAAATGATACTAGAAAACAAAAATTGGAAGCAGAATCCTAGTTTTTGAGGCTTGCTGGGGTCATATTCTCGAGTTGTCTCTGCCGAAGACAAGTGTTGTTGCCCAATTCACAGCCACATAAAACCTGTTCCTCCAGCTGATCACCCGCGTCAAGTATGCCGAACGCCATATAAACCAGCTCAAGAAACCCGCCATTGATATTCCTTGGGAGCCCTGGAAGAATAATAACACAAAACAAGTTCACTTTGGTTCTTGAAGCACAGTCAATGTCGATTGGTTATTGAATAAATATAATGAAAATGATGAATAATTCTCCTCATAGTCACCTTGGACTGGCGCAAGTCGACAAGGGCCTTGTAGCGCCCCACAGAAGCCATGCTTCCGAGGTGATTGTACACAAAAGGGTCTCCCAAAGGTATGTCTTTTGCAGATAACGCTTTTCCCCCGGTTTTCTTTCCAATTCTATTGAACTGCTCAACAAGGTACTTCCCTTGTCTTTCTGCAACCTGTACCAACATTTATATAAATGTTTTGTTTTCTGTGGGATTCTACTCAGGTTGTTATTTGCTGTTTGTGTGAGCAAACAAACAAACAAATGACTTCTCACAAACAAATAGATTCAAAGCAGGGAGCTTGGGAAGAAGGTGACAGACACCTGAGCAAGGGCAGGCAGGACTGGTTTCCCGGTCTGTTCAAGAAAACCAGCACAATCGCCAAGTGCGAAAACATCATCCACCGATGGGACCCGCAGCCATTCATCCACGCCAACTCTGCAGTGTCAACACATTTTTCTTATAGATGTGCACCAAACATCTTAACAGATCTTGTAGAGGGGTAAGGTTGTGTACATTGTGATATTTAAGACGATTTTAGGATATGTTAGTGGGGGTGTTTTGCATACCTTCCACCAGGGGACTTTGGGAGATGTAGAGATTTTACAAATTCAGATGGCCCAACTCCGGTAGACCAAACTAGGAGCCCATAGGGAACTTCACTTCCATCACTTAGAATTATTTTCTTAGGATGTACCTCTTTCACAACACCACGTACAAGGCGCACCCCAACCTAATATCACAAAAATAAATTTTGATTCAACATAGGGATGTCTCTTGAAAACAGCCTCTGTAGTCTCTACTACCAAATAGGAGCAAGGTATGGGTTTGTTAATGTCGAATTATGAATCAATATTAGTATTACAAGGAACAGCTTTTTAGGGAGCATATATAGTTTGTTGGGAACTGTAAAAGAGACTTCTTTTTGTTTGGTAACCAGCTTACTGTGTCCAGAGAGCTACTTTTAGTGGAGCTTATAGCTTATTCTCTCATGAAACACTAACTTTTCAAGCAGATTTTCTCTAGTTCCCTACCAAACAACTTCACTTTTTTATAATGCAATCAGATTCCTTTTTTGAGCAGATTTTTCCAATTGCCTACCAAACAGCTTCACTTTTTTATAGTGCAATCAGATTGTCAAAACAAAACCGCTAATACAGTCAGCTATAAGCTAGGAGCTACTCCAAAGTCTACACTTCATAAAACAAGTCCTCGATAAGGAAGAGGCATAAGAAAGATGAGTATACCTTGGTCAAATGTTTTGTTGCATATTCTCTTAATCCCACATCAAATGAGGATAAAATCTCATTTGCCTGATCATGAACACAATAGTAAACAATGAATAACATGAAAGCAGAAAGGAAAAATAAAGAATGAATGTGAGGAATACCTCTATAAGGGTAACACGTATATAGTTTTTAACGTGTGCGTATCTTTGGCGAACATCTCTCATAATAAAATCGCTCAACTCGCCACTGAATTCAACCCCAGTGGGCCCTCCTCCAATGACAACACAATGTAAAAGCTGCTCCTTCTCTTCTTCAGATACACCTGCGGTTATTGCACATTGAAATGTATGTTACATTAAATCGTCAATGTCTTAAATTTAACAAGCACGAATCATCTATTTGTATGCAATCATTTGGCCAAGCTCAGCTCAAACAAACATTACTTTAAAGAATCACACAAAATTAGTCATATGTCAATGGAATAAGGAAAAGTACATCCAATGTACCAAACAGGCCTTAATCACCAACTGGCAGTGTCTGTGTGTGCAAATAGGAAAAGAAAATTAAACAAAGAGAATGATTATTGAGTCAGAATAACTTAAGTACAATTTTTTTTAGGTATTGTTTAAGAGTTACCTGGATTTTCAGAAAGCATGAGGTTCAAGAGAAGCCTTTTCCTGATCTCTTGAGCATGATTAACTTCACGGAGAAAAAAGGCATGTTCCTTAACACCCTTTATACCAAAGGTCAAAGGCTCAGCCCCAGAAGCAATCACAAGCTTGTCGTAAGCAACTTTAAACTGATAAGGCTCCCGAATTTGTCCACCGTTACCAATCGTTTCACACAGCACCTGTTGAATCCAAACTAAATGACTTAACATCAAAATTCGCTAGTGAAACATTGTAATCTGAAACTGGAAGAACCTAGCGGGACAGAGGGAGTATGTGCTTATTAGCATGTAAGGGTAAGGTCAGCGTACAAAGCCCTCCCAAGGCCCTACTTTTGGTGGAACTTTTAGAGGGTTTATTGTTTTTGTAGTACGTAGAATAAACATCATTTGACATATTTGGATGAAAAGAATGTTATAGAATAATCACAATAACACTCTGTGACATAACAACAATAATGGGTAAAACTTGCCTCGTGTTTTTTGGTGTCAATGCTAGTGCAATTGGCAAGAAAGAAATATGAATTGGGGTCTTTTGCCAATGCAGTCTGTATCTGACTAACTGGTTCAGCAACCGTTCTGAACTCAAGGGTCCCAACACAAGTTGAAGCAAGCAAAGGGGTGAAGACCATGTGGTTCCTAGGTGAGATGCAAACAACATCGTACACAGTCGTGTCGAGCCCTTTAAGGAATCTACAAGCTGCCCAACCCGAACCGAGCACAACCACTCTAGGCTTCTCACCTGGTTTTGTAGCTTCCAATGTGGGGTACTTCGGGCTCTCAGATTGCAAATCAAGTGGCTGCACCCTTTGTGCTTGTGAATGTGAAAACCGGTACTGAGGGGCAAACCTCATGCCTGTGCTCTCAAGACTTGTTTGGTTCACCTTTTTAGGTGTTGAGAGATGATCCATGTTTCCATTTGGAGTGACACTTCCAATTATTGACGAAGGGTTTGTTTGTGTGGAGAGACTACAGTGGTCAGTTGTGTAAGGGCCAACGGTGCCTCCAGAGCGCCTTAGGCCAGTCCTTGCTATCCTTGCCAATGCCATGGTCTTCAGAAATCGACTGTATCGTCTCTATGAATTTAACCTGTTGATAAAGAGCATAAGAGCTAGTAATGCATGAAGTCTACCAAACTAAATACCAGAGTAATGAATGATTGATCCAAAACATCCACTGAGTAGACTTTTTAAAAACCAGAAGCATATTAAAGAAGAAACCCTCCCATTAAAACAACAACAGCATAATTGAACCACAACAACAACAACAATGAAAACAAAGTACAATAACAACAGACCTAGTAAATTCCCAAAGGTTAGGGGCCGGGATTGTGTGTAAGCACATAATCGCGACAAAGGAATGTAGCACGAAAGAAAGTAAGCCCAAAAGACAAAAAGCATGTAGAAACTATGAACTCGGGCACAAAAACACACAGACAGAGATTACGAACTAAGAGACCACACATCTATACTACGAACAATTGTGCTATAATACTAAGAAAAAATACATTATAACAAGAACAACAACAACAACACCTAATTCTAAATTTCTAACTTATTGCGTTACAAAAACAATAATAAATCCAGCATCTACATTCATCACAAATGCAATTTAGGAACATCAAAATACCTGCAATTCCTCACCTAAAAAAAGTTAGGCGCGTTCAGAATGCGAAGGAAAACATTCAAGATCGGAGCATTTCCGAAACCAATTTATCGGAAAAACGCGTCGAAATCAGTTTATACACAAAAATGGCTTCGTCGGAATCGAGGAATTATAACAAGCGCCGTGAATAAGAACCGAAAAGGCATACATACATTTGAATCGGGGTGAAGAAGACGAAGCTAATAATAATACCTTAATCGGACAGTTAATGGCGGAGAAGGGAAGATTAGCGGCGTTTTAGAGAAAATGGGCTCCGAGATCTCCGGAGCTCCTCTCCTTTTTCCGACGGAAAATAACCCACGTTTTTCGGTAGGTAAAAATGCAAACTAAAACTTGAGATACAAGAAAGTCGGACGGAGATTTTTATTTATATACCCAGAGTTTGGAATTGGAATTCAAAATGCATGCCAGATGTATATACCCCAATGGGACGCAGTATTTATTTTATTTTCATTTAAAACTTTTTTGGAAAAAGAGTGTGAAAAGGAGCGTCTCAAAATAGTGTCACGGAAATTTCTATGTTTTTATCAATTACTTTCTCTATTATCAAAAAGAGTTTCTTATTTAACTAATTGTAAAAATAAAAAAAAGTGTTAAGTTATACTCCGTAGTTGATTTCGGATTTTTTATTTAATATTATGTATAAAAGTAAGATATTATGGTAAATTATTAGAGAAAAAATATGACGTGATAGATAGAGCATGAAAAAAGTAAGTTAGAAGTAATTTTTTAATAAAAAATAGAAGTATTTTGTTAAAAGTAGACAAAATGAAAGAAGAAGTATTTTTCAAAATATAAAAATTATTTAATAAAATAAAATATTTTTATCATCTGTTATTTCATAAAATTTTTACGTATTTTTTTATATGTATACTTTATTTTTTATTTTTATACTAATCTTAAATAAAATAAATTTAGAAAAAGATTGAAATTCAATTCGTTTTAGGGAATCTAACAAATATTTTGGAGGAGGAATAATAGAAAGAGTATATACTCCGTATTTGGTATCAAAATGAGTGGGTCAGCGGTCAGCACGGGAGAAAGTTTGAAATGGGTAGTTTCAAAATTCAAAAGCATGAAACTTGTCTCTTTCTTTTTTTTCTAATGAAAGACTTTAATTTTCTATCCTTAAATGGCATTTCTATATTCTAGTCTCTCGACATCATACCTTCTACGCCCAAAAATAAAAAAAAAATTAACAGCTAAAATGAAATTATATTATATTAAGGCAATTAAATTAAATCAACTTATGTATACGGAGTGTGTGTGTGTGTGTGTATATATCATTTTTTGAAACCTTAATTAACTGAACTTTTATATAAATTGAAATTAAATTAAGACAATTATCATACGAAATAATCCTTCCATCCCAAATTCAGGCATTCCAAAAAAAAATGTCTCACTTCTTTTTTCATAATAAAGTAAAATATATATATGGTTCATAATTATTCTCTTTCTTCTAATCAAATTTCATTTATTCACTTTTTTCTTTTCAACATTTTTCTTAAATATCGTAAAGTCAAAATCAATATATGGAGTAATTTATAACGTCGTGGTTTAGGACATGTTCTTTTTTAGTTAGAAAATTAATTTCCAACCGTTGCCAACTTTATTCAATTTCTTCCAAACTACTTCTAGTGTTTTTCAACACCTTTCAGTTTTTTCAACAATAATTTAAAAGTATGATAAATACACACACATATAGATACACACACACACAATAATACGTAGTATCATATATCCAAATTTATAACATGCAATCTCAGATACATACAAAGATCATTTCTAATTTTTTATCAAAAATTAGTTTTATTACTCCCTCTGTCCCTCATAGATCTTCCCAATAGCCCTTTTTCTTTGTCCACAATAGATCTTCTCATTTCATTTTTTAACAATTAAAATACCACAACTACCCCTACTTGCTTTATTTATTACACCTCACTCACCTCATTTATTACACTCCACCCATTTTCATTAAGGGTATTATGGTAAACTTTCACCTTTTTTCAACTCTCCTTAAAAATCACCAAAAGTCAAAATGAGAACATCTTAGGGGAACGGAGGGAGTACATAACTATTTAGTAATCTTTTAATATGATTTTTTTAATTGAGTAATTTTTAACACTATTTTTTCAACAGTTGCTTCTTCTAATCTTTTCAACATCTTCCAAATTCTTCCAATATCTTTTAAGTTTCGTTTGGTATACAAAATTCAAATTATAAAATTAGAATCGTAAACAATAATATCAATTCTGCTGTTTAGTAGCAAAAAATACGTGAATTTGGAATTGATAATGTCAAAGATGAATTAAAATTGGAGCATTCAATTCCAATTTTGTTAAGCTCATGTACCAAACGAACTTTTATTTTTTTTAAACATCCAACATTAAATTTGGACTTGAAAAAAAGACTCTATTGAGGAAGGAAGGTATATGTTTCAAGAGGGGAGGCGGAGTAGATGATTGGATTGATGGATCAATATAATGGGACCGGAAGGGAATTGGGCGGTCCAAATTCTAAATCGGTCACGTTTAAGTCCGTACATTGGGTAGTTGCCAACATATTGGAGCCGTCTATTCTATTCCTATTGAATGAAGGAAAAGGTCCACCACTTGGATTCCGGACAAGACCAAAAGACCCAATACCAAGTNCCCCCCCCCCCCCCCCCCTCCTTAAAAAGAAATACCCGCATTTACAAATTTCATTTTTTAGAAAATATACTACGTGGTGTTTTAAAGTGTCTATATAGATTTTTTTTTCTTTCAAAAAAAAAAATATAGTTTTTTTTAAAATTCCTCCTATAAATCCCCCCACCCCACCCTGATCCTAACACACTCCCCTCACCTCCTTCAATTACACATCCAACTTAATTTTGACTTAGAGTCAAAATTAACTTGGGGTGTAAATGTCTAATTGAAGGGGGGTGTATCTCTTTAGGGTACAACTTGAAGTATATTTCGTGGTGTACACCTAGCATGATTGATAGTGATACTTTTTGTCAACTATATTACTCTTTTTGTCACGTTTTTTGGGACATTTGATAGTGATACTTTTTTTAATAAAAAAAAGTGGATGCTTGACAATAAATTTATGAGTGTGAACAAATTTGAACTTAAATCGCTCTTCTTCCAAAGTATACGGAGTAAGTATTTGGGAAATTTGTGCCAATATTAAGAGTAATGATAGAGTCATAAATAAAATATTTACAAAATTCACAAACTTGTAAAAAATGTAAAATAATGAATTTAAACAATGGTCTCAAATAATTAAAAAAATAAAAACTAAAATACACAAATGATAAATTTATACATTTTGTGAGTGTTTTGTTTGTGACTTTAGCATTACTCGAACATTAACCTTTTTAAAATCACAAAGGTCTTGTTTTGGAAAATCATTTTCGATTAGTGTTAGCGTTTTAAATACAATTTTAATAGTATAAATTAATTTTGAAAACACTTACACTAAAATTTAATGACATAGATAATCACTTCCAACTATATTTTTATTTTCTTTAAACTTTGTGTCCAGTCAAATCAAAAATTCTTTTAGACGGAAGGAGTAATAAAATGGAAGCATGAAAGTATATGAAACAACAACGAATCTAAGGTAGCCCTATTGATGAGGTAAGTATATACTCTCTTCGTTCCAATTTAAATTACTTACTTCGGTTTACGATGTTTGACTGAAGTTATTTTCAAATCATTTTATATGAAAAATGATATTGAATTAAAAAATAAAAATTACATATTTTAATACTAGATCAAAAAATCTACAAAACTAGTGGTAACATGATTATATTATTTTATCAAATGGCTAATGAAAATATTAAAAGAAAGTGAATACAAATTGACTGTGTGAATAGTAAACGTGTAATTTAATTTAGAACAAAGGGAGAAACAACATTCTTTAAATAAAAAATAACAGAATCACGCAATAAAAGTTTAAGAATGATGAAAAGGAAAATAAACATAAAAATTTGCTCCATATAAGATTAAAAGCTAGTACGTTTCCCTAAATAAGATTAAGCATATTTTACATATTTTCGTATAATCTACCATATATGTCTTCGTTAACAACAAATGTTAGATAATGACTTATTATACGAATCATTTTACGAATGTGATCACTAGAAACAAGTGTTGAATAATAATTGATTATTGTAATGATTATTCAAATTATTTTTAATAATATCCTATTCTACTTCAATAGGTTATTCTTTACAAAGGCAGAACATTTTAGAATTTTTCATTGTCAAACGTTAGAGTATTTCAGACCAATTCTATTTGGAAAAAAGTGATATTTTTTACTTCGTATGTAGGACAAAGGGAAAATAAGGGAATATGACTATACAACTATATAGGTACTAGTAAGTAAATATTAGGCACACACAACTCTTGATCCTTAGG